AAACAACCTACCGTTTAATTTTAAGCGATTAGAACGTTTTGTAATATCATTCTTTTAGCATGTTTTAAGCAAATAAAATAGTAATATATTATCTATTATTTACTTCCATTAAAAGAAATATTTTCAATACAATTACCAATCGCTCTTTCAAACTTTATTTAAAATTAGCAGGATTACATTTGGGTATGGCTTATTTTTCTCCATGGTCAGATCAACGTAGTTTGGTCACGTGTTTCTAGGGCCCAAAATTTGCACATCCACGTGGGAAACAAATTTTATAATGTAGTCTATAGAAGTGTATTATTGTAGTAGAGCGTTCTGCTAAATTGAAAAATTGTCGGTTTATAAGTTTTAAGTTTAGATGAGAGATTAATAAAAAAAACTGGGTAATTCATAATTTATGGTTTATTCTAGACAAACAACACATAAATAATCGAATTACGACACAGTATTTAGAGTATGTAGATATCAGTTTTAAGCTCGAATAAGGCAAAGGCAATACACATCTCATTCAATATGAACCTGCGATATATTTCCGAAAAGGAGGAACATCTTCTAATCGACATAAACCTACGAATTATACAAACCAAAAAAAAAGATTTGCCAGGACCCCTTCGGTGCGCTCTGCGGTATGAACTTTTATACATCCATTCATTATTCTTTACACTATTTTAAAAATTTTTGACATTAGTATACCAGTAGGTATATTAATGTCACAAATTATAATTTTCACATATTATGTTTGTTTGTTATAATTTATTAGACTTAAATCTTATTTATATAATATTATGTCTAATAAGTGGTGAATTCTTCAAGACACATCTAAATATTAAACATGTCTAAAAAATTGTCTTTATAGGGCTTCATATCGTAGTTTTTGAAATTCTTTTGCTTGAAAGCTGATCCACCTCATACGTTTTAGGCCGGCCACATACATACGGAATTCCATTTCTGGATTCCGAACGCAGAAAGTCCATATAAAATCAAGGACTCGCCGCACACGTACGGTAATTTTACGTATGGAATTTTCTCTGATTCGAGATTCCGTATGACCGCCTGTGCGTTCGTAATCCCAAATGGAAAAAAGCCGCTCCGTACGCAAGTCTTCAAGACTCAATGGCTAACGTCCCTCAACTGAGCCTTGTTATTTCGAACGGAAATAAACGTATATGTGTGATGTATTCACGGAATCCCGATTCGGGATTCTGAAAAGGAATCACGAAACGGAATTCCGTATGTGTGGCCGGCCTTAGGTTTAGACATTCTGGCAGCAAATAATGACGACCTATTATATAGTACCTACTTAGGCCGGTCACATACATAGTTCCAGTTTCGGAATAACAAGGGTCAGTTGAGAGACGTTAGTCATTGAGTCTAGACATTCTGCCAGAGAGTAATGACGACGATTTTCTGATTGCGATTCCATTGTTTCTGTATCATTCTTACTAGGTGCATCCCCTTTTCACCCTAAGCTTGCAATATATTCAATATTATGTAAAAAGATCTATCTATCCAGAGATATTTTTTTTTAAATATGGATGTCTGTAAACTCTTTCGACGAAATATTAAATGAAGTAAGATGAAAAGTTAAAAAAAGCTATACACATATAAAATTAAATGTAAAAACATACATAAATACACCTACTCGCTGCGGTCGTGCGACTGAATCAGAGTAAATTCCAAACAGAAAATTACCGTACGTATGTGGCGGGTCATAGATTTTATTTGGACTTGCTGCGTTCGGAATTCCGAATAGGAATATCGAAACGGAATTCCGTATGTATGTGGCCAGCCTTAACTAATAATTAGTAGGATAGGTGACATTTAGGACGATATTGCATGTAAGGGAATGTTCAGACAGGAGCCTCGCTATTTCTAGCTTTAGGTACCTATATATCCGGTATGAGCCTTTGCTACAGACCTAAAACTTTAAATTGCTACAATAAGACGAAATATTTTAGTAAAATACATCACTAAGTTCACAGCCCTCTATTATTAATTTGAACTTTTATAAGTGTAACTGATTGATACGGAAAACCATTTCTATATGATTGCTATTTAGGTAAATGTACATACTCCTATAAGTATATTACTATATTACTAAAAATCAAAAGGGTCGTTATGATATACATATACAATCGATACATTTAACAATTCAATACAGTAATAAATCTAACGTTTATTTTTATAGTTATTTTGGTTCAATAAACGTTGTTACACCCCACATCGTATTTCAGCCGTTCTTGTTTAAGTAAGGAATAATGTAAGAGTGTTCGAAACTTTTTCAGTTAGCATCACCTTTGAATGTAAGCATTGGTATAATTTTTAAATTGCCATACTAGAATACTCCAAAAGCCAAATTTATGCTTCTACATTCTATATTAATAGCGCGTATAATTGTAAATTGTTCCACCTAGAATACAATGATATTTTAAATCTATAGAAAGGTACCTAACCGTGTTCCTCGTGTGTCGAATCAAAGACCAAAATACGCAGTTTGACATGATGTTATTTTATTAATATTTTATGACTTTTCCGGATAGAGAAGATACATATTTATTTTTCTGTCACGAGGAACGTTTTACGACATTTTGTTGTGCATACCGTACGTATCAATTTTTTTTTAAATATCATTGGAAACTTTACAATAATTATGACAATAATTATGATAATATTACCACAGAAACAGAAACTTATTTTATTCTGTATAAATTATAAATAATACTTATTGAAAGTCGAAAAAACCTCTGTCCTGGGAAGAACCAGCAAGAAAACCAGTGGGTCCTTTTTTTTAAATAACAGCTTACAATCATGTATGTTACACAATTAACCACACAAAACAAGTTAGAAATAACTTGGTAGCGATCACTTCCTTCCCAGGGGTTATTATAATCCATAAATTCCTTAATATTATAATAACCCTTTTTATACAAACATTTTTTTTAATAAAGTTTTTGAACTTTGAGCAGATCAAAGTTTGTATATTTATTTTTATAGTTATTGACATAATAAAAATACTACTTTTTTAATGTTAAATATAGCTAACATAGCGTCAATAATTCTTATAAAGTACTTGCAGACAGGATACAAATGAGTACGAAATTTGAGATTATGTAGGTTCTTTTTTAACTAAATGTTAAAAAAGAAAAAACCAATTTTCTGCTGTGCTCTCTTTTCTAACAGTAATAAAATCAGATGTTAATTTATATTTTCCATGAATAAAATAGATAAGACCAATCCGGGTCCCATTTTGTTCAAGTTTCTGTTAATATCTCATTATACAAAAATTCATGTTGAGCAACAAATTTATTTATTTTTAACTGTTTTACGAAAGCACTGATGTATTAGTAAATAAAATAAATATTAAAAAACGAAAACCTAGTGAACAATGCAATTAGGTAAATAAAACACAAAAAAAATATGAACTTTCGAATTGTGATCACCTTTATTACTTTTTAGATTTTTTTTATAAAAAAATGTGTGAGATTTAACAATAAATGCAGGTACGATAACACGACAAGCATTGAAATTATCAAATAAAAACGAATAGACGTTAACATTGACAATGATACGCAACGACCTGATGCTGATGGTATGCTCAGAATGTATAAAAATATGAATAATGTTTATAGCTGTAAAATAAACACACCGACTAGTACACAATTAATACTTAAGATATGTTCTAAAGAAAGTTGATGGACATCAATCAATTTATTAATAATACGTTTTATATTCGCATAATTTTCGTTATATTTTCATTCATCCATAAAGCTCTAACACAATTTACATTGAATACAAATTGATATGAAGACGATTAAGTAATTAATACAAGCAAGATTTGCTTACCACAGATTATACAGGCACATATAATGAACAATAGACAAAAAACAAACATTAGGAGAACAAAAATATAAGACGTGAGAATCTGTCATGGTGACTTATAAGAGTTAATAATATTAACTAGCATCCAAATAAATAACTAAAATTAAATAAAGACGGATATTTACACAAAAAAACACGGTCCATTTCAGCTGTTCAACAACTCCTATGCCACTATAATATAATATAGCTTTGGATAATCGCAACGTTAACGGACTATATTTACCTAACACTACTTTACAATAAAGCTTTATTAGAACATTTACACACAATAACAATATTATTGTTTTAATGTAAATAGTTCCACATTAACAATAACAAGTGGGGTGACGTGGCGGTCTATGTTAACAAACTTCGTATTCCTTGCGGGTAGGTACTATTTCTAATATAAACCTAATATTTAAATTTATGATCCAATATGAAAGTATAATAAAAACAAATCGAGTAAAACGCATTTAACTTGTGGGATAAAAACAATTTTTGATTGAATCGATCATTATAACAATTTGTGGTTACATATAGCACATCAACATTTCCGAATCAAACAAAATTTTTACAACTAAGTTTTGTGCTCTGCGTACATCGATCACTAATAAAAAACTAGATACACAATCCCATGCAAAAGTTCTCAAAAAACTGTCGCCAATTGTTTTGACGTAATTCTGTTTGAAATAAATATACATTAAAGTAAATTCAACCTTAAACGCATTGCCTAAAGTTGTATTCACAAAGTTACGTACAAATTAAAAGCGCACCCAAATGTTCGAGTGGGCGCTCATTCGGTAAGGACATTTTTGTCACTGATTGTGTATCTAGTTTTTTATTAGTGATCGATGTCTGAGTAGCAAGCGGCACGAACTATAAGCGTCGAGCATCGGCTTTAACTTGCACAGTAAGCGTTTTTTGGTTCGTTTGGAGGTATGTTAACAACACTTTCACTGCCCGGTTTTCAGACACAATGGTAAGACCTATATGTAGTACACTGGACAGCGAATATTACCAGCGCTTAAAACACGTGCCAACTCCTATACTGAGAATAAGGCCGGCCAGCGTGGCGGGAGGGCGGAGGCGTTTAAGCCAATATCATCCAGGTTAATCCAGGTTAAACCAATTTAAGCCAGCTAGTGGTCATGCAGGCGATCGTGCGAGTGGCTGGACGAGCGTGAAGTCTTGCGCTGCTCCAAGTATGCGGCCGGCGCCCAGCCCTCGCCCTGTCCACCTACATTCGGAAATACATTCACCATTACCTTCTGTTTTTAAATTTACAAAACACTACACATTTCATAAAACTAATTTTACGGATTTTATCGCGTTTAATTTGGCTTTTTGTAAATATCGAAGTTGGTCACGGGGGTACTGATGTGGTTGATGACCCAGATTACCTCTAGCTTTTAAATATTAAGTTTTGGTCCGATCTATCTATAACGAGCTTATAGTATCTTGACGTGTTACAGTGGTAAGTATGCTTAGGTTTAGATTTCCATTTCTTTAATTACAGGATAAGTCAAATTAAACGAGATATAATCCGTAAAATTAGTTGTATTCAGTTCTGTTTTTAGATATAATATTTACAGAGAAATAAAACACAGTTTCCTTAAAACGCGCGATTGCCTTTGATTTTGGACAGTTTCGAGTTTAGATAGCTGTGATGTTTAAAAGTCAGAGAGAAATAATACCATGACTGTTTTTTGTGTTTACATTTGTGGCAATATCCGACAGTTGATAATTTCAGACAGTATTTGCAAGTTGTCACTATGGTCGAAATCAGCATGGAGTACGTGGTCAGGGTAAGAAGGTATAATCGGTGTAAGGGATTCCCCTTTAAGTTTTCCAGAATTACCAACTTCACATGAGTGAAATTAATAGAATCAGGCGTTACTTTGCGGAAATCCATTATATAAAAGCTTTTAGAAAAATTTACTTCCCAAATATCAGCGTTATAAAATAAAATGATGTGTCTTACCTAGTATGAAGATCTTCATACTAGGTAAGACATATCATTTTATTTTATAACGCGGATATTGTGTCTTACCTAGTATGAAGATCTTCATACTAGGTAAGACACATAATTTTATTTTATAACGCTGATATTTGCGAAGTAAATTTTTCTAAAAGCTTTTATCACATGAGTGCGCCAATGGTGCATGTCTTGTAAGATTAGTTCATGCTTCTCACAGTTAACAAGCCGGCGCAAGGGCGATATTCTCAAACTGGTAATGCTGTTCCCCATCACTTGTCTTAAACATTAATTCATTTATAACAGCAGCAGCACATAACAAGTTTGACATGGGCTTCCCCCATAGATTGCCTCATAGGGGGGATATTTTCACTGTTTGTCTGGCGGGTACGCAACCGCAGTTTTTTTTTATTGAGCAGGAAGTTGCTACTGCCTATATTTTCTTTTAGATCCCCTCTGTCGTCTCTAAATGAAACCCATGGGCCGACGGGCTTTTATTAGGGTTCGGCATTTTCGAAATGAGTTGAATAAGTTAGCGTTTGAAAAAAAAATATTCTCTCTACATCTCAATACCTATGTTCTTTTCCTGCTACATCTAGCGTAAACGAGATGGTAATAAACGCCTCTTGCGGCATCCACGGGACGAAAATAAGGAAACAAATTTTGTAACTTACTTTAATTACATACGATAAATAATTATGTAGACGTTTATTACCATTAACTGCAATTGTTTTTGACGGTAAGTGGATACCTGTGGCCCACATATTAATCTTCAATTAAGAATCAATATGCAAATGCGTTGTCTCGTATCCAGTGAAAAGGTGCCCGGTTCTCTACACTCACCATACGAAATACATTAAGGTGTTATTTTAAGCTGGTATTCGGTGAGAGCGTGATCCTTTTCTGGTCGAGACCATTCGTGCTACAACCATAATATAGCTGCAGCATGGCTATACAAAAGTATTAGTAAAGTATTCGATTTGTCCCTACGAAACGCGTGCCAGTCGTTCGCCATCTGCGCTAGGGCGAAAAAGAAGTCTGAAATTGTATGTGGTGAATAGAGACCTACATCGACTGAAATCGCGACCAGCAAAGAGTGTAGAGTACCCACCTGCAAGGCGCACGTACCACCAGCCGGCGCAGCCCACCTTGAGTAACTCGGCGTGCTGGCCCTCGCGAAGCGATACCTCGCTCGCGCCCACCGCCGTGTACTCCGACAGCGCCACCAGCGAACACCCCACAGCCTGCCCCACGCACCACACATTATAAGTAAAACAACCCTTGTACAGATCAATTAGTGCTTGTACTAAAAATTGTAATCCACTGACGGCATTTTCATAAAAAATAGATATTTTCTTATGAAATAAATAATTTTTTGCTTATATTCGTATGCGAAAAATAAAAATATGAAAAAGGTTACATTTTACATTAATTGGGTTTTTATAATCTCTCTAATATGACACGTTTAAGACTATATCAAAATATTGTAATTCTTTTAGCTAAATAATTACCAAATAAAAATGCCTCAATGTTTCTCTCTAAGAATGTTAACAATTTTTATAAATTTTATCAAACATTAATATAAACATTATGTTAGTTTCACACGAAATAGTTAGTTTTCACACAAAATTAGCACACCATAATAGACATGCAAGTATCCATCACCAAAAGCACGTATAAAACAGCGCAGTAATACCGAGACACCGATGAGTATTTAGTGTAAGATTAGAAGTAATTGTATAATATTAAAGAAAGAATCGAAGTCGCTCAAGTAGTAAGTATAGTGACGTAATTAGTAAAAATATGTTCCAGAAACTGTGTTTTTGGTAGATCCTAAGACACCCATGCAAATAAAACTATTTCTTTGAATTAGACCGTAAAGATACGTTATGTGTATTACAGTATTATTTTTCGATAAGCATTGTTATATAAAATATCACTATAGAAATGACGAATGATATGGTACTAAAAAGAGAATAAAATGTATCTATTTATATAAAATCAAGTATGAATAATAATCCAAAGTATGTAATAGTATGTGCATATTAATGATTAGATATTTCGGTACGCGGAAATAATAGTTTAATTAATTAATAGTTTTTATTATTCATGTTGTTAGAAAAAGTTACGTATGTTGCGATTTAAGAATGAAATTCACGATTGCCACACTGAACTGAATTAACGGCGCTTTTACAACATAAATAAAAGCAGAATACATTATGAGTGTAAAATGACAAAAGGGATATATAGAAAAATAAGAGAGCATTGTTAAGAGAAATTTAAAAAGGTCATTTAACGTCTTTGGCGAAATGTGGAGATCATAAAAGTACTTGCATACCCATTAATGATTTTCACAACATGTTTTATGGAAGAGATTAATATGAATAAATTTATGTCAAGATACACTCATACTATAACAATAAAGCGGTTTATTTTGCACGTTTAAAGCAGCTGCGTCAAGTTAAAGGCTTAAAGGCGGAAGCGTTGCTGTTATGATAGTGTTTGTAGGTGGTGTTAAGATATTTTACTTTATTTTTAAAATAAGAGTTTGTAAATGTATTGAGTACATTATGATCGAGTTCTGAAGAATAAACGCTCTGCTATGATTTGTAAAAGATAAAGATACATAATATATTTCATAGATAATGAAATAATATTTATTAAAAAGCAAAGCGCATAATAATATAAGTAGTCGAGAAGCACACGGACAATGAGTGACATAACAAACAAAACATGACTTACACGACAGTTAATGTTCAGCGAAACAACTGAAATATCCACGTTACTTCGAAGTCTTTGGTTATTTTAAACTTTGGATATTAAATCAGTCTCTTTTCATTATGTACAAAGCCAGTACTGATTTTTGAGCTCGCTAAGTATATTCTATCAGTACTGAGACACGTAAAACGTGGAGTTGGCTTGTGTGGAACCCGATACTGAAAAGAACTGTACCATTCTGTGTATGGTACCGTTGAGACCGACGGCCTCCGTCACCTGTTGAACAATACAACTTAGAGCATGGCAGCCATTTTGACAACACAACGCACAACAACATGGCGTTCGTCATAAACTGCTTTAATTTTTGGGACTTTTGTGTTTTCCCAATAACATTGTATTAGTAGGTATTTCTATTGTTGTTTTCCTTGTTATTCCAAACACTAAAATTTAAACACTAAGTGCGGGTATTGCTATAATAATAAATTATGAAATATCTATAAGCAAATGATTTGTGGCTTGCTAAATTAAATATGCAGTGGTAGCGTGTTTTGAAATCGGAATATTATTATGGAGTATTGAGTATTAAACTAATTTCAGGGGAACGGTGACGTTAGTTCTTTCAGATTTAAAGCACTAAAACTAGTAGGTACTATGTCTAGTTAATTTGAGGTTACGTAGTGGATGTTTTGGGTGTTTTATTTTTTAGTTATGTTAACATTTATTTAATTGCTAGGTTATTCCGGGAAGCATTATGTGCGATTAGATTGCCAGCTTTGATCATGCGCTACCCGGTAACTATTTAATTTGCATTCCTAAAAAATACACTTACATAATAATAAGTGGATTCACTTCCCTCAACACTGTAAACCCAAAATTATTCGTAATTAAGAGAACCGTAATCACCAATCTTTCCCAACAAAAAGCACTAAAATATGACGACAATACGTCCCATTGTTAGTTTACGTTACTTAAACATACGTTACATTATTAATATAAATATAAAATATATGTTAAACTGAAACTTGCTAAGTGTATTCCTTTACAAATAAGTAGGTACTTAAAGAAATTGAAAAGAAGGATACATTTTTAACATTGAATAAAACTACGACGACAGGTTAATTACACCATGTAATGTTTTAGATATTAATTATTGTAAGGAAATTAAGGCTACGCAAATAATAAAGAAGTCGTAGTTTTGATCAATGCAGGATTTATATTCTTATTGTGTATAAACCATAACCAATTAAGAAAGAGGATTATTCCGTGTTTAATTTTAGTTAGGTACAATTTTTATTTAGAAATTTTGAATTTGATTTATAACTTGTAATCATTTTGAATAATTTACACTTAATAAAATAATGACGAAATTCAAATAGTTTGATTTTACAAAATTAAATAATGATTAAAAGACATATTGTATTTTGAAAATTAAATACATAAATACCC